TCAGCCACCCTGTCCGTGGGGGCCGTTCCCATGGGGGGAGGGGGGTCCTCCGTGCCGCCCCCGCTCTGGCTCCTGCTCTCAGCCCAGGCCGAGATGTTGCCCTCGTCTGTGTTTTCGTCGCCTGTGATCACTTTCAGGGTTCGCAGTCACAGCACAGTTCATGGGTGGGCCACGTGCCCTCCTTCCCCCGCCCTGGCCGCCGGACCGAGGGCTCTCCCCTGCTCAGAGCCGCGAGGTTTCTCCTGCATCACAGCCTTTATTTCAGAGTCCTTTCTGGGTGCTCGCGTTGCAGATTCCAGAAACAGCCACCAGGTGCCCGCGGGTCAGGGTCCACAGTTGGCCTCCCCCGCTCCTGCCACGTATTGGAACGGCCCCCAGTGCCCGTGACGTGCTTCCGTGACCCGTAGCCACCCCGTGTTGCAGACAGGGTTATGGCCAGCAGCACCGCTCACAGACCTCCCTGCCCCGGAGGCCGCCTTGGCTGGGGCTGCAGCCAACAACTGGAGGGGACCCTGAGACTGGGGGCCCCACCCTTAGCCTGCTCCTCTCCTCAGGTGTCCCCAGGCATCATCGCCAACCCCTTCGCAGCAGGCCTCGGCCGCCGGAACAGTCTGGAGAGCATCTCCTCCATCGACCGCGAACTGAGCCCCGAGGGCTCCGCCAAGGTCAGAAGTGCCTGCAGCTGGCAGCCCCGGGGCTGGGGAGTCCGAGGCCAGCAGCCCCTGACTGGCATCCTCTCTGCCCGCAGGAGAAGGAGCCTCCGGGACAGACGCCACCGTGGGGACTGGAGGCTGTGGTGAGTGTCTGGGCGCCCCCACCCTCCGCACCGGCTTCTCGTTGTGCTCTGGCTGCCCCCCGCCCCCCCCACCGAAGAACCGCGGGGCCCGAGGGCGGACACAGTGCGGCGGGAGGCAGGTGGCTGCAGGCACTCTTGGTGGCGTCCACCAGCCCCCTGCTTGGGTGCAGACCCGGCCCCTCGCAGCACTGTGGATTCTGCCCCCCAGGGCCTGAGCTCGGAGAGCCTCAAGCTGGACTACCGCACTCTAGCCGCCGTCCCCGGCTCCAGCAGCACGCAGAGGGTCAGTGTCCCAGTCACGTCCCTGGCCTGCTGTCCACCTCCCCATCTGAGCTCTGTCCTGCCCCTGCCCGAGCCCCCGCTCGCCACTGAGACCCTGGGGCATGGGGCTTGCAGGCAGGGCCTGCAGGGGACACAGGACACGGGCGTCCACGCCGGAGCTCTGCTTCCTGATCTGGCCCAGGTCCCTCTTCATCCTGGAGCCAAGCCCTGAGGCAGCTGAGGGCTCAGCCCGGGTCCCGGGAAGCCCCCACCTCACCCCAGACTCACCGAGCCGGCTGCAGAGTGGGGAACACGGGCAGCTGGAGGCCCCGGTGGCCTTTGGGGGGTCACGGTGGGCTTGGGCGGGAACAGCCCGGAGCAGCTTTGAGAAGCCGTGGAGACCGGGGCCAGGGTGGGGGCGGCAGGCACCAGGCAGGATGGATGGTTGGTCTCGTCCCTCCCCCAAGAGCTGTGACTAGCCCTCCCAGAGGCTGTGCCCAGCCGGCTGTCCTCCAAAGGCCTTCAGGGAGGCGAGTGGCCGCCCACTGGGCTCTAGGAGGCACCGCAGGGAGGGTGGGGGCTGAGCGGGAAGGGCCCGTGGGCTTCAGTGCATCCTCCAGCAGCCAAGTGGGGAGGCCCGGGAGGGCTGGGGGCCTAGCTCTGGGCTGGCAGAGGGCAGTTGGGGCCTCCCTGGCTCACCCCCGTCATACCCTCAGGGGAGGGTAGCAGAGGAAATTGCTCATGGAACAGCTGCTTCCCCCCCTGCCCCGTGTGGGGAGAGCCTCTTTCCTGTCTCCCTGGCACAGTCGGGGCAGAGGGGAGCCTGGCGGACTCCAAGTCCCTTAGGGAAAACAGTTTCATGCTGGGTGACCCATGGTTAGGCCATCATGCACCTGCTCTGGGCTGGGCTTGGGTTGGGGAATGGAGCAGCAGCTTTGGGCAAACACCCCCTACCCCAAGAGCTCTTCCTCATGGGGCCCCAGCCTTGCCTGCCCCTCACCCCAGCACTGCCTGACCCCTGCAGGTACAATCTGGGGCAACAGGAGGGAGGATGGTGGAGAGCCCCTGCTCCCCCAGCTGCCAGCAGGTGAGTGTCTGGGGCACCCCCATCCAGGGAGGGGTGCCAGGGGATGGCCCCTCCCCCCAGCTGCCCCTCCTATGAGGGCACAGCCTGTGAGCACCTCCCCAGCTAGAGGTGGCTGGCAGTGCAGGCGGGGTGGGGGGGGGGCAGCTCTCTGTGGCTCCTGGACAGAATGGGGGCTCAGGGCTGCCTCACCTCTACCTGCCCACTTGTGCCTGAGTCCCCGGGGGCCAACGTGGTCCTGCTGAGGCTCCCTGGGTCTGCTGCATGGGAGGGCCAGGCCAGGGCACTCCCACTCTTACTGCCCGTGGTTGGGGGTAAGCACTGGTAGGCCCAGCTTGGAGGCCAGCTGCCAGCCTCTGCCCCTTCTCAGCAGGCGGCAGACAGGTGAGTGTCGGCCCTGTGCCCCTGGACACCCACCTCGGCCGCCACCCCTCTGGCCCCAAGTCTCGCTGCTCCAGCACCGCCCCGCCCCCCAGCCCTTTACCAGAACCCCAGTGCCACCTCCTGGTCCCCGCCCCTGCCTGTTGCTGAGAAGCCTGGCTTGGGCTTGACCAAAGGCTCCGTGGTCCCCAGGGATAGAGGGGACCCCACTTTGTGAGTATTCGGGCCCACGGGGCACGGCAGTCAGAGGCAGCTGGCGGGGACAGCTGTCCTGGCCTGGCTCGGCTCACGTGTGGTCCCTCCCCAGCCCCCATCCCCACCTTCACCCGATGCACTGCCCACCAACGTGAAGCAAGCCTACAGGACCTTCGCCGCTGTGCCTGGCCCGCACCCACTGCAGGACACCCCCGCCCAGGTACACAGCGGGCAGCCCGCCCTTCGGCCGTGAGGGCCTCTGGGCCGTGTGCCCGGAGGCGCCAGGTCTCAGGACCCACTTCCCGCAGCCCCCTACCCCCGGGGCCACGGCCTCCCCGGAGCAGCTGTCTTTCCGTGAGCGGCAGAAGTACTTTGAGCTGGAGGTGCGGGTGCCCCAGGCTGAGGGCCCCCCGAAGCGCGTGTCCCTGGTGGGTGCCGACGACCTACGCAAGATGCAGGAGGAGGAAGGTAGGTGGTGGGTGGGCAGACAGGTAGGTGGCCACGTGGGTGGGCAGGAAGGCCCCGGGGGGACGTCCCACCTGATGCGACGCCCCGCCCCCCCCCCCCCCCCCCCGCCCGGCACCTGCAGCAGCAGCGGGCGCAGCTGCTGCGGGAGGCCGAGGCCGGCGGGCTCGCCCTGGACCTGGACGGGGAGGAGCCGGAGGAGCCAGCACCCTGGGCCGGCCCTGCCGTGGGGTGAGCTGAGCTGAGTGGGGGACCCCCGCCATCTCCCGGGTGACCCTGTGCTGGCCGCACCTCACCCACCTGCCCCTCCCGCCCTGTCTCCCATCCCAGGCTCAGCCCCTTGTCCCCCCAGCCTCTCGGAGGCAGCGCCCCGGTGCGCACGGCCAAAGCCGAGCGCCGTCAGCAGGAGCGGCTCCGTGTTCAGAGCCCAGAGCTGTCCATGCAGGTGCCCGATCGGGCTCTGTCCCCTGCCGAGCGGCGAGCCCTGGAGGCCGAGAAGCGCGCACTCTGGAGGGCAGCGAGGTGAGGCCCTAGTGGCCCTGTGAGGCCGAGCCCAGCCCCACGGCCGCACCACCCGCCCGCCCAGCACCACCTCCCCTCGGCCCACAGGATGAAGTCCCTGGAGCAGGACGCCCTCCGCGCCCAGATGGTTCTCAGCAAGTCCCAGGACGGCCGGAGCAGGCGCGGGCCCCTGGAGCGGCTGGCCGAGGCCCCCTCGCCCGCACCCACCCCGTCGCCCACCCCTGTAGAAGGTCTGTGGCCAGGCAGAGGTGGGGGGCCCGCCCCACAGCTCAGACCTCTCCCAACGCCCACTTCTTGTCCCCTCAGACCTCGGGCCCCAGACCGGCAGCTCCCCTGGACGTCTGGTGAGGAGCCACAGCTGTTGCTGCCCTGCACCCCCTCCCCAGACTCCCCTCCCCTCTCCTCCTCTCCCCCTCTTCACGCTCTCTGCCTTTCTCCCTCACGCTGTCCTTCCAAGGCCTTGTCTGGGAGGAAGTTTGACTACAGGGTGTTCGCAGCCCTCCCTTCTTCCAGACCTGTCCATGACATGCAGGTACCAGGCCCGTCCGCAGGACAGCCGCGCGCACCTGCTAGCCTGGCCCGTGCCCCTATCTCTGCCTGTCTCGAGGCCTGTGGGCGTGGGGACCCCCACTCAGGCTCTTGGGGGCGGCTGCAAGCAGGCCCGGGGTGCGGTCCTGACCCCACCCTTCTCCCCCTCGCAGTCCCCAGACTTTGCTGAGGAGCTGAGGTCCTTGGAACCATCTCCCAGCCCTGGTGAGTCAACACAGGCTCGGCCCCGGGGCGGCGCTCAGGGTGACTGCCCACCCGCCCCCCCAATCACTCACTGCCTGCCTGCCTTGCCCGCCAGGCCTACAGGAGGAGGATGGAGAAGTGGCCATGGTGCTCCTGGGCGGACCCTCGCCAGGCACCGCAGGCCCCGAGGAGGTGACACTGTGCAGCAGCCGGCGGCCCATGAGGCCTGGACGCCGCGGCCTGGGCCCTGTGCCCTCCTAGAGGCTCCTGGTGCCTCCTCTCGACTTGGGGAGGGGGCCCTGCCAGCCGCACCGCTACCCTGACCCCGAGTCTTTTAACCTGGGTGTTACCGTTTTCAAGAGACCCGGCGGGAGTTCCGGCCGCTGACTAACCGCCCCTCCCCTGCTGGGACCCGTCGGCAAGACTGTAACTAGTGACGTTTGTACAACCAAAGACTCTATTTTGTGGTTTAAGAGGAATAAAATTGACTACGTTTTACTTCCCGTCTATCCATCTGTCCGCCGCCACAAGGCTGGGCCCGGGCCCTGCGCAGGGAGCTCCCGAGGCCCTAGGGGCCCCCGCCGGGGAGCAGCACCCGCACGGGGAGAAGCACCTGCAGCTGCTCCGTCGGCGGCCACTGGGCCTTGGTGACGAAGATGGCACGGAAGCGCCCCAGGCGCGCGGGCTGGAACTGCGAGGGGCCGTACTCGGGCCCGTCGGCCGGCCGCAGCAGCGACAGATAGCGCTCGTGCTCCAGGAGGCCCCGGCCCAGCAGCTCCTGCGCCAGCCCTGGCCGCACGGCCTCTAGCTGCTGCTGCACCACGGGGAACAGGTCCACCTCGCACAGGTCGAACACCAGCGGCTTCCCGTACCTGCGGGGCGCGCCGCGGGTGAGGTGCCCGGCCCGGGGGAAGCCCCCCCAGTGCCGCCAGCCTACCTAAGCGCCCCCAGCAGCGCCAGCCGGAGCCTCTCTGGCCGCAGGTGCGCCGGGTTCACCGCAGCCACGTAGTTGGTGTCCTGGTAGCGCAGGAAGGTGGCTGCCTGGCCCGAAGGATCGATAACGAGCGGCCACCTGGGAGCGGTCACAGGTCACTGCTGCCCACCCAACGCCTCTGGCCGCCGGCCCACCCAGTCACGACCACGGACCGGCCGTCTGCGCGGATGCGGCCACCCACGTCCTTCATGAGTACGTCGTGCAGCTCGGGGACCCGGCATTTCAGCCCGGGCGTCTCCTCCTCCCCGCCTGTGGGGGAGTCACAAGGGGGGCGGGCCACTGACGGGAGGACCCGATTACCACACCCCCTCCCTGGGCCCGGCACCCTGCCCCCAGCACTGCCCACCCTCCTGTGTCTGCTCCCGAAGCTCCAGCCTGGCCATGGCCAGCGCCTCCTCAGCCTCCCGGGCCTCCAGCCGCAGCCTGTCCACTCGGGCCTCCGCATCCTTGATGGCCTGCACGAGAGGAAGGGCCCCACGCTCCGCTCAGAGTGAGCCTACCCCCTCCGCGCGGGGCGGCCCAGATGCCCCCAGAGGCTGCTGCTGGAAGGTGGCGCCCACGCTCTGGAGGGGGACGCAGGCCATGGAAGCCCGGGCCCGAGAGGGAGACAGCTCACCTGCAGGGTGAGATCGGCCCGGCGTGGGTCCCTCCGCGCGTGCTCCTCGAGCTCCGCGGTCCTCCGGTTGAGCTCACAGTAGGCCTGCTGCAGCTGGACACGAGGGCCCAGGCGGGGCTGTCCCGGCATCCTCCAGACCAGCTCCATCCCACAGAGGCCAGTGGCCTACAGGGCATGCCACCTCCCGGGGCCCAGGGCCTGCTTACCTGCGTTTGCCGCTGGTGCTGTGCCTTCGCCAGCTGTTGTACGTTGAGGTTCATGCTGGTAGGGAGAGCAGCCCGGTCATCGGAGGCCCTCCCCGCCACCCCCTGCCTCCCTCCCTCCCTCCCTCCCCAGGGCGCACCGCCTGGCCTCTGCCTCCTCCTGCTGCTCAGCCTCCCGGGCCCGGCGTTGCCTCTCAGCATCCATGTTCCGGAGCATGGCATCTGTGAGGTCCAGGTCCCACGACTGCAGCACATGGGCTACAGTGTCCAGGGAGGCCACCTAGGGATGGATGACACTGGCCAGGAGCTCAGTGCTAGGTTCCGTGCCCCACCCCCCCCCCACTCTCCCATTTTACAAAAAAGGGCGCCAACTGGCAGAATCACGCCCCCAAAGCCATGACCATTACGGCACAGCTGCCCCCAGAAGGAGACACCCAGGGGTCCTCTGGGCCTCCCCTGCCAAGACCACAGTCTCCACGTCCCTTTCCGGATCCCCTCCTCCCTCCCTCCTCCTCCTCCCCGCGGGCCAGCACCCCCCCCCCCCCCCCGGGGGGCGGGGGCCTTGGCCCCCGCCCCAGCCGCCCCCCCCCCGCCCGGGGCCGCGCTCGCGCGCACACCTGCTGCGGGGTGCTGCCGTCATCCGCGTACACCCGCGGGTCCGCTCCGAGCTTCAGCAGCACCTCCACGGCCTCCAGGTGCCCCCCGAAGGCTGCTCGGTACAGCGGCGTCCGGCCGAAGGCGCCCTGCGCGAGGGGCTCCTGAGCTGGGCTCCGCGGGGGCAGCCGTGGCGCGTGGCCCCCAGCCCCGGCCCGGCACCCACCTTGCTGTTGGGGCTGGCGCCCTGCTCGGCCAGCAGCTGGATGGCCAGGGGCTGCCCGCCGGCCGCCGCCTCCGACAGCGGCGTGTTCCCACCGGCGTCCTCGCTCTCCACCAGCGCCACCCGCCGCCGCCGCCGCCGCGCCGCCCCCGCCTCGTCGTGGCCCAGGCCCTCGCGGGTCAGCAGCTCGTCCGCCTGCGCGCGGCCCGCCGTGAGCGCGCGGGAGCCCGGCCGCCCCCGCCCTGCCGCCGCCCCCGCCGCCGCCGCCGCCGCCGCCGCGCACCTCCCGCAGCACCGCCCGGATCTCGCCCAGGTCGCCGTCGAAGGCCGCTTCCCGCAGCCGCGCCCCGCGCCGCCGCTCCTCCCGCCGCCGCCGCTCGGCCGCCTCCGCCGCCGCCCGCCGCCGCCGCGCCGCCTCCTGCTCCCTGCGCACCAGGGCCACGAAGGCCTGCGGGCACACGTGGACCGAGGAGCCCCCACCCGCGCGCGCACCGCCCCCCGGGGCTCCGGGGGTCCCGGCCGCCCCCACCGCCGCGCGGCTTCGCCTCACGTCCCGCTGCAGCTGCTCCATCCGCTGCCGGTAGTCCCGCCGCTCCCGCCGCCGGCGCGCCAGCTCCCTCCGGGCCAGCAGCCGCCGGAAGGCGCACTGGATGACGGTGGCCGCTCGGTCCTCCACGGCTGGCCCTGGCGGGGAGAGGGGGGCTCAGGGGTCCCGGTCCCCTCCGAGCTGCCTCCCGCAGCCACTGGGGCCTCCCGTTCCAGGCGCGCCAGGTCTCCGGGTCCACACGGCAGGTGCGGCGCGCACATCTCTTCCCACCCAGCCAAGGGCCAGACACGGTCTAAAACCCACAGAGGCAGGGGCTCCTGGCCGGATCAGGTGGTGGAGCCTGTGACTCTCCATCTCACGGTTTTAAGTTCGGGGGTGCCTGGGGGGTCAGTTGTTAAGCATCTGCTTTGATCAGATCATGATCCTGGGGGTCCTGGGATCAAGTCCCCCATTGGGCTCCCTGCTTGGTGGGGCAGCCTGCTTCTCCCTCCCTGCCTCTCCCTCTCCCCGCTCCTGCTCTCTCTCTCAAGTAAATAAAATCTTAAAAAGCAAACAAACAAACCAACCTCAGGGATGTAAGTTCAAGCCCCACATTGGCTGCAAAGATTCCTTAAAAAAATAAAATCTTTAAAATCTGCACCTGAGGCCATGCAGCGGAAAGCAGAGGAAGAGTTGTGAGAACTGACCCCGGAGCCCAGGCGGGCCCAGGGCCTCCTGACCTTCCCCAGCCCAGACATGGCAGGGACCCCTGGAGACCAGCTGCGGAGGTCCCGCTGGAGAGCCACCAGGGAACCTGAGGCATGGTGAGGAAAGTGGCCCCTGGCGGAGAAGCCCCGTGCACCCCCACAGGACCCTTCCCTGCCCAGAGCCAGAGACCCCCACAGCGTTCAGGCACCCATGTGCCAAGGCTGGGCCGGCCAGGCCGATGTGGGGGTCTCCACCCAGCAGCCCACTGGGACTCAGAAGAGGGCACCCAGGGTGTCACCTCCCCGCACACCAGCCCCAGCGGAAGGTCTGAGCGTGAGGTAGAGCTCTGGGCGCCGCCTGCACCAGGCCCCGCAGGCGCTCTGCCCACCTGAGGTCGGGTCGGTCAGTTTTTGGGCTTCTGTGTGCCTTTCTTGGAAACAGGGCCCTGGGGGCAGTCACAGCCCACAGGCCTGTCCAGCTGTCTGATCCTAGAGCCCCGCAGCTCCCGGACGATCCTAACTGCTCTGCGGCTACTGCAGTTCTCCGGGCGTCACGGTGCCAGTGACCGCTGTCGGTGGGAGAAGAAAGGGCCAGGCCAGGCGGCAGGGACCGTAGCGGACGGCACGGCGACCCCATGGAACCAGTCCACAAGGCCCCCTCTCCCCAAGCCATGGTGGAGCCTCAGTGGGACTCAGGGAGACAAGGGCTCGGAGACAAGGCGAAGCCCACAGGAGGGGAGTCAGCACAGATGCGGCCACGGAGGGAAGGGGCACTCGGCCCGCCGGCCAGTGGCACGAACCGGGTGGTGACCGTGGGGGACATGAGCAGAGGTGCAGCAGCAGGGGAGACAGGACTGTGAGGATAATTAGAGACGAACTATAGAAAAATTGCCTGGGGCACCCAGGGGGCTCCGTCGGTGAAGCCTCTGCCTTAACTCAGGTCATGATCCCGGGGTCCCGAGATCGAGTCCCGCATCGGGATCCCTGCTCGTAGGAGAGCTGCTTCCCCCTCTGCCTGCCTCTCTGGCCCTCTTGTCTTTCTCTCATGAATAAATCTTTTTTAAATGTTCCTGATATAAATCTTAAGGGTGACAAAAATACACAAGGAATCAGGAATCCTGGCACCAGTCACGCCCTAGCCAGGCCGCTGAGCCTTAGGAAGACAGGAGCAGCACCGGGCACCCAGACCAAGGGGGACGCCACGGCGGGGTCTCCTGGGACACTTCGCCCGCCATGGCAACGGTGAATGTGACAAGCCGGTGTGTCGGTGTCTGTGGGATTCTGACGGGAGCCAGCAGCTCGAGACCACTCGGGGCTTCTCCTCCCGGCCTCCCCACTGACAGCGACAGAAAGACGACACAATGACTCCATCCTGAGTCTGTGTGGAGGCCGCAGGGAGTGCAGGAGGGAGGGCCCTGCCCGGGAAGGTGGGCTTCACCCAGTAGCACCCACGGCGGGGGGGCCAACAGCTGGGCGAGGCCCAGGCAGACCACTGTGCCCAGAGGGTACAACCGGCGTGCCAGCCGGAGTGCTCAGGAAGCCCTGGGTTTGCGCTCGCTGGGCTGAGCTGATAAAACTACAGAATGCAGCTTTGGACACGCACACGCGAAAGGATTTGTTGTTTATCTGAAATTCCAATGTAAATGCGCGCCCTGTGTCTTATCTGGCGGCCGGATTGGGTAGAAATCCTGAAGAACTCCGTTCTCCGGGAAATGACCGCCCTCGTGGGCACAGACAGCCCAGCTGCAGGCCACTCAGTCCTTGATGGGGGCAGGCGATTTGCAGTGGCAGGAGCAGGGCGTCGTGCAGAAGGAGACTGCGCGCGCACCAGTCGGGGGCTGGGCAGAGGGAGAGGAAGAGAAGGAGTCCCAAGCGGACCCCCAGCTCAGCACAGAGCCCCGCACGGGACTGGATCTCGACCCTGAGCTCACGAGTGGAGCCGAAGTCGAGAGTCAGATGCTTAACCGGCTGAGCCGCCCAGGCACCCCTCAAAACGTTTACTATGCAGTGTACAGCACCCCCAAGATAATCGGGCAAGTGCAGAAACACGGTCCGACCCAAACACGAGGAAGACGATGGACAAGAGGAGACCTGGACGGAGCAGGCGCGCTGCTCTTGGAGGCCGACTTCGAGGCACGCGTTCAGGGAATTAAAGATTACAGAGTTTGGGCGGAGAAGGGAAACAATGAAGCACCCATAGAATCAGGAACGTAAACATGCAAGAGCTCAGCAGGTAAACCTGGCGGAGACATGGACGCGGCTGCGCTCGGACGCACGGGAGCCCCGGAGCTGAAACGTGACACCCGCGGGGGCGTCAGGGCGCGGAGGCCAGGACCTGTCTGAGGCACAGGGGACTCGCGCCACAAACAGAACCGACAGGCAGGAGGCAGCAACAGTGAAAGAAAACTTTTCAAAACTCGCAGGCATCAGGTCACAGCAGTGACAAACGCTATTAGCAAAACGGCTAAAACCAGAACACAGCAGGAAAGTCCTTCCTGAGTCAGGAGGCCACCGGGGGGCTCCGTCTGCCCAGCGTCCGCGTCTGGGTTTTCGGCTCAGGTCACGATCTCAGGGCCTGGGATCAAGCCGGCATTGACATCGGCGCTCAGCAGGGAGCCTGCCGGACGCTTTCCCTCTGCCCCTCCCCCACTTGCAGTGCAGTGCGCCTTCCTCTCTCTAAAGTGAATAAATCCTAAAGAAAATAAATTGCTTACAGGAGAAAAGATACATTACCTCCAAAGGGGTAAAAAATAAAATTAAGGAGCACCTGGCCAGCTCAGTCGGTGAAGCCTCTGCCTTCAGCTCAGGTCATGATCTGGGGGTCCTGGGATGGAGCCCCGCGTGTGGGGGGGCACGGCTCAGCGGGGAGCCTGCTTCTCTTTCTCCCACTCCCTCTGCCTCTTCCCCATTTGTGGGTGAACTCACACTCTCTCTCTCAAATAAATAAATTTTTTTTTAAAAAATTAAGGCGAGGGGCGCCTGGGGGGCTCAGTGGGTTAAAGCTGCTGCCTTCAGCTCAGGTCATGATCTCAGGGTCCTGGGATCGAGCCCCGCATCGGGCTCTCTGCTCAGCGGGGAGCCTGCTTCCTCCTCTCTCTCTGCCTGCCTCTCTGCCTGCTTGTGATCTCTGTCTGTCAAATAAATAAAATCTTTAAAAAAAAAATTAAGGCGAAATAAACTCACCTTTGGGCAAACAGAACCTAGAGGGGCTGGGCATCTGGCCTTGCTGGGATCACGAACAGAAAATTTAAAAAATATATATGCTTTTTGAATATAGCTAGACTAAGCTGAAAATCAAAAAATTAGAGATAGCCATATATTTAGAAATCCTGAAGTACAATTTATAATAGCCCACGTGTCAGAGGAGAAGACGATAAAGGACGCGGACATGAACGTTTGTGACCGCGCCCCGCGGGGAAGCTGAGCGCAGTGAGCTCGTCCGTGCATCTGGGCCCCACGGCAGAGCCTGGGTGGGAGTTCAAGTTTTCTCTACTTTTTTTTTTTTAACTTATTTATTTATTTTGCAGAGGGGCAGAGGGAGAAGGAGAGTCTCTGGCAGACTCGCGGCTGAGTGCAGAGCCCAACGCGGGGCTCAGTCCCACCACCCCGAGACCACGACCCCGAGGCCACAACCTGAGCCGACACCACGAGCTGAGTGTCTGACCACCGCGCCACCCAGGTGACCCTAAGCTTGTTCTCTTAAAGCAGGAGGCCGGGTACTGGAGACGCAGCCCACCCTGACCAGTTCAGACAGGGGTAGCGGAAGGCGGGCCACAGCTCAGCAGGCCCCACATGGGGACAGGGCCCTGGGCTCCAGGCGGAGGCTGGGGACGGCGGCCCCAGGCACTGGCAGGAAACACGCTGAGCCGTCAGGGTCACCCTCCAGGACAGACGGAACCTGTAGCTCTCGGACGTACGGCAGGAACGCGCGTGCGGCCACAACCGGTGGTGCTGGTTGCTTCCAGCGAGGCTCTTCACGAACACACGGGTACAACTGGCCGCTCTGCATCCGCGAATCCCAGGGCCAGGCGGCCGGAAGCCAGGACCCTTCGAAATGGCAGAGTGGAGGGACAGCGGCCGAGATCCGAGGGCCGTGTGCACTGAAACTCCGCCTTGGGCGGAGGACAGTCCGATGGCCCCGGCCACATCCCCTCCGTGAGACGCCCGTCAAGCTCGGGCGCCCACGGCCAACCGCAGGGAGAAGAGAGAACGGGGAGGCGACACCCGGCGCCGGAGCGGCGACTCCAAGCACCGCCAGCCGTGGCTCCTGCCGCGGAGCCACCTGTGGCCGCACAACGGCCATGAGGCCGTCATTCCGCGCTGCCCCGTGCCAGACCATGAGATGACACGTGACCTTCGGGCATGGCCTCCCCTTGTTACCAGGAAACGGACTCGGGGGCGCCGTCCGGTAGCTGCGCCTCCTTTCTGGACCGGCGGCCCCCCTCCCCCTC